CAATCATCATATATGTTGCACCAGCTTCCTTCAAGCACAAGTGCATTTATTCTTTCTCTCTTATTCCCCGTAGCAAAAGAAATAGGAACAAATTCATAAATTTCGTTTAAGCATAGTAAATATTGAAACTGGACTGACCCTTGTTGGATGACGAGAAAGTGGGAAGAAGATGATGCTCAAGTGTCTAAGAGGGCGTGATCATTCAATTTGAGTGTTTCTTTTCTTTCCCTTTTATTTTTCTCTTTTCTCTTCTGGTGACAACTCGGATATAATTTGAGTTAAATTGGTTAAGTAAAATTTCTGTCCAGAGTGAATCTCAAAGATTATAAGAATAAAGAGAGAATAAACATGGAAACAACTATCGGAAATCAACAGTAACATTTCTAAGAGAGGACAAAGCATATATAAAGGAAAAGAAAGAAACATAGAAATCGGTTAGAGCTTGTTGTCCAAGTTTTCATAATTCATAAATGCTACCTTAAAACGAGGAGAACGCCTAAGAGACGATGCAGATCCAGGAGAGAGGACTACTGGCCTACCCCCTTTTGCACGATCAAGTTTCCTGGAATTTTTGTTGTGTTCATCAAACTGATGCTCCTGTAGCTGGGATGAAAACTCACTTCTACTATCAGTTGAAATGGAAGAAACCGGGGCTGACATAGAGATGATGGAAGTGTCTTGATCACGAGATGCTATGTCAGGAAGAGTTCCTGAATGCATAGGAAACATAACCGTATTCAGAACCATTATACAACATTTGATGAAAAACTCTCCATATATTTAATGTTTATATCTGCTAACCAATAATCTATGATTTCTTGCACAACCGCATATGAATCTGGTGTTACCAAATAAGGCTCAAAGGATAATGGAACATAGAAACAAAAACACAAAGTCATACCATGTGCTACAGCTGCTTGAAACTTTTCCCTCATAATCCTGACAAACTTGAACAGTCCATTGCTCTTATTTAACTCTCTGAGCAGCTCATTTGTATCATTTAGTTGTGGATCACAATCAACCACTAAAAATCCAAGCCAAGCAAAGAATTAGAGTTCTGGACCATCTTCACTTATGTATAGTTGATAAAGATTCCAAACTTACAAGTATATACATCATTCTCATGACGTATGGTAAAAAAGTATTCCTTATCCTGATTATTGGCATCAATATTGGTAAATATGAATTTAACCCCTGCAGAAGAAATAGGAAATGAATGTTCAATAGACAAATATGATGATAGAAGAAGACTGTATTTCTTTTATTGGAAAATCCATTAGTAATAATTAGAGATTTTGGCGAGGCTATATGGTTCAGAAAGCAAGTCTGCTCCTTTAGAATCTTAAATGTGTCCACAAGTTGGAAGGATAAACATACCATGGCCACATTCAATACGTAAACCAAGCACCTTATTGTACCACACAACAGCCTTTTCTATTTCCTCTCTCTGTTCAGCAGTCTTATTATGCTTTTCTTCACGTGCTTTGAGAGCTTTTACCCACAAAAAGAAAGCTCAATTACCCAACATGATATGGTGTCACTTGGTAGAGACAGCAAAAGCAGACACAAAGTTATCAACATAGAAGAAGCACCAATAATATTCACACGAAAACCAACTTTCAGAACGAAAGTACAAGGAGAGTTTGGAAAAAGGGGCACGATAAAAAAAGAAAAGAAAACTTGAACAAGTTTTCATCCAACTTCCAACATCAGTGTAGATCTTGAGGAACTTCAAAGGAAGAAGAGACAGATAAGCATTATTATTTAATGCAACCTTCCCAACAAATTAGGTATCTTCATTTGACCAGGCACAAGCATTTGAGCTAGAGCTTTGGTTTTACTACATTAAACTGTAGGTGAATCCAAATACAAAGATAAAGCTTCACTTTTGATGAGTTTCAAATAAATTGGGTGTCATGTTACTTTCTTTATTATTATGATACTGAAATTGCTTTCGAACGGTGTAAAAAAAATGAAAGTCGACAAACACCGTTAATCTGAGACAAAGCTAAGTGATAAGACTTCAGCCTAAGGTCAAATAGCAATTCTTGATAACAAAAATTATAATACTGCGTCAATTTGAGAAAGAAACTAGGGGATTAGGTCAAATTAACATCTTTCTGTGTTTTGTCTCGTAGGAAGACTCCAAGACATGAAAGCACGTATGACTTTGTCAAATGCATGAAAAGAAGGCCAACTTTTGCAGAGATAGATTTTACCATCACTTTGTTGAGATATTATGGCTGCATATTCCTCTTTCCTGGCCCTTTGGTTTTCCACAGCCCCTCTAAGTTTTTCTACTCTAGCTTTCGTAGCAGAAATTGAGTCTGCTAATGCTATCTGCTTTGCCTCTTTTCGGGTCTTCACTGAAGATGACATAGCATGTTAGAATTTTAAATAAAAAACAGAGACAAAATAATAATAATCCAATTCTATAGAGAAAATGATTAGTAGCATCTAGAAAAGTAAGAGGAGTAGTTCTTCAATTTTTTTCCAAGTTGTAAACCATGAATGCCGTAAATATCTAATAAGTCGCTGAAATCATTTCCTCTTAAGTCTCAATTCTGAAAAGCAAAAGAAGTTGAGATTAAAAATAAGACATTTTCAGAAAATACTATGGATGAGAACTTGCAGAATAAGTAAATAACCTCAAGAACAGTGGTGACTACCATATTGCAGCTACTTTGGATGTGAATCTTTTACACATACTTCCCATTTTCCGTCAATACACAAGAAATCCAAGAGAAAAAAAATCTTAGATACCATAACAGATCCATGCTGTAATATTACCTTTAAACTTTGGAAATGTTGTTACTTAGATCTTCAGACTTTCAGTGTTTATTGCCTCATATTCTTACTACTATAAGGATCGTCAGAGCTTAAAAAGACAGTTTATTTGCATACTTAGTAATTAGTACTTAGGTCATCACATATGCAAGTTCGATTTCAGCATAACCGTCATTCTTTTTTTTGAAATGAAAAAAAAAAGAATGACGGGAAAAGAGTCACATTTTTTTCGATTTCAGCCCCCAAAAAATGTGCTTAATTGGAAAATCCACAGCATATATAAAGAGCAGTACACAGAAGAACGGGAAAAGAGTCACACACCTGCAAGTGCTTTCACCAATTTGTCTTCCAATTCCCTCAACTCAACTTTCAACTTCCCAAGTTTTGCTGCCGCAACCAGTCAATAAAATCAAATAATCAAATCAATAAGATCCCACGTGAAGAAAATTTCAATATAGGAGATATCATCCTATATAATCGCTAAGATTAATGTTCAGGTGAAAACCCTAAGTTTAGAACACTAAAATTCAAGGGAGCCTCAGAATTTAGAAAAAAGCATACCCTGTAATTGAAGAGACTCTTGTGCTTGGGCCTTGGTTGAATCGAGGGAATTTCGAAAGGAGCGAGCGGAAGCATCCAATTTCTGCTGTTGAATGGGAATTTCTCTGTCACAAATCAATCTAAGTTCCTCCATTTTCGTCCTCATAGTTTCCCCTACGCCGCTCTTCATTCTAATCTCTAAGGTTCTCTGCTTATTTTGCTTTGTGCGTGTGTGTGTGAGAGAGAGAGAGGGGGAAAGAGGGAAGAGAGAGTATGTGCTTATGAGATTTGAATACTGGTGAGACAGTATGCTTAGCCCGCCATTTTCATTTCCTTTTCAAAATAGATGGTGGCCAGCGAATGAATACTGCACACTTTCTTTAAAAACTCGCACGCACCTAATTACTTGTACTAATTCAATAAATACATGTCATATATGTTCATATACATCTGGACTGGTATTAATATTACTAATTAAATTTAATTAATATATATATATATATTATTACATTAATTTATCACTTAATCCTAATCTATGCAGTAATATTATTAGTTGTAACCATGTAGACCCCTAAAATTTTGAAAGCAGGTGTCAAAAGTTTGAAAAGAACTTTCAAGTTCCATTATGCTGTTTTAATAGCATCTCTTCAGGATAGGGCAGGGGTGCTTATAGGAAGGAGTATCTTTTCGAGCCGAGGGTCTATTAGAAACAGTTTCTCTATCTTCACAATTGCGGTAAGGTTTGCATGCACACTATTCTCTTCATATTCCATGATGTGGGATATTACAACAACAACAACAACAACCCAGTGTAATCCCACAAGTGGGGTCTGGGGAGGGTAATATGTACGCAGACCTTACCTCTACCCGAGGGGCAGAGAGGCTGTTTCCAGGAGACCCTCGGCTCGAAGAGTTAACAAGAGACACTATATTAGTACTATCAATAGACTCATAATAAAACAACATAAAATATCATTAAATCAATAACATAACATAAATACCATAAAAACAAAGTAACAGCAATATAAGAGATATAGGAAATACGAGAAAGATGTAAGGTATTAATACACAGCAGATAAAGCCCATCATCAGTAGTTGATCAATAGCATCTTAAGACTAACTCCTAACTGGCTAGTCTCACTCTAGTACGCTGTAAAAAAAAAGACATCACAATTTCCCTAACCTACAACCTTAATGCTCGATCTCCACAATTCCCTGTTTAGAGCCATGTCCTCAGTAACCCTACGTCGCGTCATATCCTGCCTGATCACCTCTCCCCAATACTTTTTAGGTCTCCCTCTACCTCTCTTCGTACCCACCACCGCCAGTCGTTCACACCTTCTCACCGGTGTATCAGTGTTCCTCCTCTGAATGTGCCCGAATCATCTGAGTCTTGCTTCCCGCATCTTGTCCTCCATGGGAGCCACACCCACCTTCTCTCGAATATCTTCATTTCTAATCTTATCCTTCCTTGTATGCCCGCACATCCACCTCAACATCCTCATATTTGCAACTTTCATCCTCTGGACGTGTGAGATCTTCCTTGTTGTTGTTAATAATATCTGTTTCAAAATAATTTAAAACTTTTAAAAATATTTACTACTTTTTTCCTGTAATAAGCGAATACTAAAATTATTGTAATCTACTTCACTATGAATATACTCCCTAGCATTTTCGGAACATAAAAGCTTATACAATGACCTCTATATATTGAGAAAACAAATTGTTTTAATTAATCTACTCAAATTTAATGATAATATATCCTAAGAATCATATAATCATTTGCACCCAAGAGCATATCCTAATGTAGAGAGTGTAAATATTATAGTCCCTAATTGAAATTTCATTAAATATAAAAACAAAACTAATAGCTAATTTCCTCGAGATGTATACAAGTTGCTCTGACATCTTTGTTATGAGGAAGTATCAAATAGATATCTTAGGTCATACTATTATAAAAGCACGTCTTCAACACAAAATGTCGATTATTTTTAACAATTCTTAAGTGGATCTAATGTTATATAAAATTGTAATTACAATTAACTTTCAAAATTTCATAATTAACTCTTACTCATAATTTGATATATTTAATTAAATAAAGAACTTCCTCGATTCATTGTCGTGTTAAATTTAATAACCGGAGTTCGTCAGATTAAACTTGCTATCACTTTTTGCAAATTTAATAGATTAAAACTGCCAATTAGTATATTTAATGGATTATTTGAGATCAACGGACTATTTTTGTTATTTAACAAGACATATGATCATGTTGAAGATTTTTTTTCTTCTAAAATGTGTAATTTTGTTTGGAAAATTCCACTAATTAAAAAATATGCATATGTGAAACTATTTACATGTGTTAATTGAAAATAACGGGGTCTAGTCATTAGCTTCACTTACATTTTAAAATGCAATTTATAAATATGAAAATAATTGCGTTTGAGTAAGTTGTATTTTAGTAAACTGTTTGGCCAAGTTTTTTGTTGGCCAAAAATATTTTTAAAATTAAGGTATTTAACCAAACTTTTAGAAGAAAAAAATACTTTTGAGTAAAAATATAAGTAGTTTTTGAGAACCAGAAAAAATAGTTTCTTCCTAAAATTATTTTTGAAAAAAATACACTTAACACACTTTTTAAAAGGTTGGTCAAAGATTAATTATTACCTAATACTTTTGAAAAAAATATTTTTTAAAATAAATTAATTTTAGAAACTTATCCAAACACACTAGTATAAAATTGCAAATTGCAACTTATAACAGCTTGTTTGGATGGTTGTTACATATCGTTTCATAATGTATCATATCGTATTGTATTGTATAGTACTGTATCGTTGATGAATACAATGTTTGGATGAATTGTGTCGTTTTGCCGTCGTTTCATGGTATCATGCATCATAAACTTGCAATATTATAAAGAAAAATTATGAGATGGTATATAAAAAGGTAGGGTAAATAATAAAATAAAATTATTTAATAATAATGAAGGGTGAGATTGAGAGAAAACACAAGGAAACGACATCACCACACCAAATCGGTCGTTACATAAAGTGTCATATTTTATTGTTATGTAATGACATATTTAACGATACGATATAATAAAATTTAAGTAACAATAAAAACAAATATTGTATTTAAAGTAATAATAAGGTGAGATACAACCGGTAACAACCCTCCAAACAAGCTGTAAATAGCCCTAACCCCTACAGACCACTTCTGAAAGAAAATGGCGGTTGGGTCGACATATTACTGATTTCCTGAGTGCAAATGTTCAATCCATATGTTCGAATTATTCGAAACGTTCCAACAAAGAATTTTGGGGGTTCTCTTTTTCAATTCTTTCTTGTTCTATTGATTCTTCTTAGTTCATATTTGACTGAACCCTAGCTTATTCTCTCTAGTACTAGTACTAGTATTTTCCTCCGCACTACCCATTTTCTCTCTTCGTATTCAGAGCTGTAACAGCTTCGTTGCCTTGGAGTATTGCATCCCGACTTGAGGCAAGGTATAACTCCATTTTATTTGATTTTGCTCTCTTGTATAACCTGCATAGCATTTTTTCTGTGATTTACCTATTTACCAAATCAGTCTTTTTGGTTCTTAATTTAGTTCTATGTGTATTTTAAGAAGACACTGCAGCTCGTTGTATCCTGAAGTGCTAATTGACATTACTAGTCTTCATCCTTGATGCAAAAATCACATGTTTTATATTACAATTTCATGCTTTGAGTTGGTGAACAGGATACTATGATCTTGCAAAGGATTGGGTGTTTGAGCCATTGGCCAGTATATCTCCAATATAGTTATTCATCCAATTATCTCAATTTAAGCCTGAAAACTCATGTATGTATACTGTTAATCTGTTACAATTGAAAAAAGAAAATAGTTTATATGTTTATGAACTGACTCCATTTCACATTTTAGAACAACGTAATTCAATTGCACATCTTAAAGTTATTAGGAGTATTATTGTTTTATTGGTAAGTACATCTTAAGATTATTACTTCATAAGCTGAGTAATTTATTTTATGTTTTGAAAAAAATATCCTATAGAATATTGGCTTTCAATTAATATTATCCATACATGTTTTTTTTCCTTTAATTTTTCAAATATATTAGGCTATGAACTTATGATAACCAAGTTGAAATCTTTAAATAAGAGAGAGGTGATTGCAGCTCCATTATGGTTTAAAAAGTTCTAACTTTTTTTAAAACAACAGGTATTATAAAAGTTACCAACTTAGGAATTAGTTTACAGTGAATTATCTATGCTAAACTGGTTTTTTTTTTAAGTTCTACAATATATTCATGATCAATAGTTTTATATATTTCTTTTCTTTTGTTGGGGTG